CGAGGTCGTTATGCTTCTGTGTTGGGCAAGTTTCACACGATTTCACAATTTTGCACGATTTCGATACGATCTATTTAAGCAGGATAACCTGCTTTAACGACGACGTTTAGTGCATGGTGTAAAGGAGTATGAAGCAAGTGTTCCTGCATGAGTGGAGCTTCGCATCTGCTTGGAAGACCTTTTCCACCTCCAATGTTTGCCTGCGAAACGGCTCAAGGTTTTACATAAAAAACTTCCAAAAGTTTTGCCCCTTGGTCTGTTCTAATGCATTTGTGCTCGCTGATCACGGCTTTGACCTTAAGAATGTTGACTTTGATGTTCTTTTTGATACCCCGCGACTTAGAGGTCTTCACTTTTCACGATTTTGTTTCCATGAAATACATAACAGCTCCACTGATAGCGCGACCAAGGCACATCAGCATTATTTACTGGCAGCACTAGTGTAGTATAAAAGTGTAGTAGTTAGTGTTAGCACTAGTAAGCACTAGTGTAGTATTAGCACCAAAACCAATATTCTACCTCCATCCAGTGTCCTTAAATGCTCGCACCAAAAGTGGTAACCTAATAAATGCAACATTCCATAGGGGATAGCGGAAGCATTACTAGTTGTACTTGTTGACGTTCCCGCATCAGGTCATGCCAGGAACATCATCATCGTGGTTCTGAGGGACCCGCACCCCTACTAGCAACCGGTTGCGCCCTTTGTAACTGACTGATGTGTCCCTCTCCGAAAATCCTTGGCGACACTCATGGTGTACGTTACACTATATACCTACGTGCTGTGTATTTTTTGGAAGTCAGTGGAAGGACGTTATTTGGAAAGTTCCGGCAGTCAAACAAATAATTTTATTTCAGACCCTGAAACACCTTTTTTATCGCGTGCTCCATGTCAGCGGTTTGCTAAACACGTTGCACCACCTAGGATCACTATAACGAACATACAACAACCTTTAAAAATGAACATCTAATCATGCGCAAGCAGCGCGATCATTTACATTAGATGGTACGGTGGGAGGACTATCAACTGGCAACGTCACCTTCCTCTTGGCCAAGGGAACCTTTTATATATATGATCCCTGACACTAGATGACGGAATGCTTGTGGCCGGCCTGTAGCATGCTGAAAATGTACAGTAGCGTGTCATATCCTCCTAGTTGTTTCGAGAAGTCTTCTCCAACCACTGACAGGTCGGCTCCAGTGTCAGCAAGGGCACTCAGCTTGGCACTGTGGTGCGCCTCAGCTTGCACATGCACCCGCTGTGCTCCCGCAGGTGACGTGGATGTCGGAACAGCGGAGGTGATCGGCCAGCGGTGGCCTTCCATGCCGCGATGGTCGAGAGGTCCCGGGCTCCGTTGCGAGCCAGCGGTGGTCTTCCATGCCGCGATGGTCGAGAGGCCCCGGGTTCCGTTGCGGTCGACAGACGCTGGCGAAGTGGCCGGTGTTCCTGCGGAGGTGACATTTCCTGTCGCGGGCCGGGCAGTGTCAGTCCGGCGGTGCAGGTTTCCGCAGTTTCGGCTTCGGTCCCGCTCGACCGGCAGCACGCGACGTGGTGATCTGGACTCAGGTGACCTCCGGGCATCGGGAGAGTCCCGCGTGTGGGCTTGCGTTCTCTAGCAGGCCTCTGTCCGCACACTCAGCACGTGGCCAGCGGGGCCGGAGGCGTCGGGCCGTCTCATCCGGCGTGGCAATCGCAGCCGTAGTCACGTGGCAGACCATGCAGGCCGTGGATTCGTCACTGCCTCGAATCTCCGCAGCGTCTCTGAAGACAGCCCCTGGAGACCTGCAGAGCAGCGGACAGAGACAGGCTTGGGATTTGCAGAGCCTCTGAACAGGCTCTGTGGGTCTCAGACCCATAACAATGTGATCTCGGATGAGTGACTCACTGCGTGACAGACAAAAAATACCCTTCCGAGACAAGCCACGAAGACAAGTGGGAAAGTCATCAAACGTCTCTCCCTCGACCCGAACTCTAGCGTTAAACTGCTCCATCTGAAGGACCTCGTTCACCTGTCCGATGGCGTGGACCTCCAGGTGTTGAAGTAACGCAGTCACATCTTGTCATCCCGAGTCCTCCAGCCGCAGATTTTGGACGACTCGGTTCGTGTTGTCAGTCAGACGGGATGAAAGGACGGCCATTGGAGGAGGACGGCCTCGGCTCCAAGGCACCAACACCTGTGAGGAGGCAGAAGTCCTCCCACCTGCCTGTCCACGTGCAGATGCCTCGCTGCGGTCTGTGGCGAGGCCAAGCGGGTCCGGCTGGGTCGTCTCCCCGAGCCCCGAGGTACAGGCTGCCGGCTGCTCTTGCATCAGCGCGCCGGCCGCCGGTGCGAACTACGCACCACTCGCCACAGTCGCCCGCCACGCTACATTCAATTCAACAGACACGATCCTACCGTCCGCGCCTCGCAGTGATTTCGGACAACTCGGTGTCAACAGCAGCCGTTTGTGTCTTAACACTCGCTCGGGTGGGTGGTCAAATTGACCCCCCTCCGAAGGTTTTTCCAGGATGGTTTCCGAACAGTACGGCGTAGCCGCGCCAAACTTTGCATAGCTGTAGACAACTGAATAGCGGATCGTTCGACATAAAAAATTAGATGTATCTGGTAAGGTCGGTGACCTATGGCAGGTCAAAATCAGGCAATGGTTTCAGCGAGGGCAATTTCTAAGGAATCGTCCAATCTGATACAGTAACGGGGTGTTTGACGAAGCCATACATCTCTGAGATGCTTTCTTAGGCACTACAAATGTTGAATGAGTAAATTACGTTGACCTAAGGTCAGGTATGAAGGTCAGACTAAGGTCACAACCAACCTGATTTATTACTCTAGGGCTTGCTCTATGGGATAGTTTCTGGTGCTCATTTCTAATTTATTGAAAGCAGGAACTGCATTATACATCTTCTATTGACTTCTTTTAGGTCAGAAAAGGTCATTGACCTAAGATGACCCGGGTCGGCACTTTGTTATATGGACATACTGCCTAGAGTAATCTTTGTCGCTGATTCAAATGCAAAACTCAGTGCAGTCTTGTATTATTTTGGTCACCATGACCTTTAAAAGGTCAAACAAGGTCATTGACCTCAAATAGGCTTTTGAAATTTCGTTTAGGAACAGTTTCCTTGGTTCTGAGGGCACTTTGGTAACCAACCTAGAATTTGACCTTGTTTGGCTTTATTTGACCCGAAGGTCACGACCTTACGAAGCTCAAGCTTTGACCTAAGTGAGTTCACGTACAGGTCAAGACACCCTGTAAATATGGTGTCTCTAGCTCTCTTAGTTCCCGAGATTTCAGGAGGGGATGTTCAAATTGACCCCCACCCCCGAGCGAAGGGTATCTAGCCGGCCACCCGGGCGCGTGTTAAGATGCATTGAATAATTGCCCGCGCGGGCGTCCGTATGTAACCAGTCGTCAGACACTGATCCGGGCCGACCGGCCAGCGGCCCCAGTCGTCAGCCTAACAGCCGATGGTGGTGTCCGCGTGACCGGCCGGGGTCAGCGGCGGCCCGCAGTGATGCGAGCAGACGGGCTGCCCGCAGTACCGGGCGTCAGCCACACACGTGGGGCACCGGTATAGAAGGAACACGGTGTGGTTGGCTGCGTTCACGCGTTACAAGGCGTGCATGTGGTGCCGGTTATGTCCGAAGCCTTTGTAGAAACTGACAGCGCTATGACCGAGCCTTTCTGTCATGTAATAATAGTACGGTAGCGCGACCAGCGGCACATAGAGCCCACGTCTTTGTAGTGTGACACCCAACAATTCTGCTTCTAGTGACGGATGAATACCTAGTTCAATCCTTTTCTACCGTTGACTGGCGCGTCAAGGAATTTGGTCAGCAAGGAAACAAAGCGCCTGAACAAAACAGTGAAATGTCCGGTCACAAATGTTGATAAGCCTGTTCGTCAGCCGGTTATTTTCTGGCCAATATTCTTATGCGGTGACATGACTGAAGCTGTCAATTACAAAGCAAACGTAAATGTTGTATTTAGTGGAGACCCATCGTATCGCACTGAGAGCCAGCGACTGTCGGCGACAGCCCAATAGTTAGCGATGAAGCACGTGATCAGCGGAAGGCTGATACATATGCTGCTCTCCAAAAAGGCAGCCGTGCTGGCCAGTGCTGACAGGCCCTTCTTTAAAATGTCTGTGTGGCTACACTATTATACTATTTGTGCCATCTCACGCTCACTTCAGATATGATTATCACTGCTCGAGGCGTTCAAACAGCTTGTTGTGCTGCTGACAACGTGGATCCCGCACTGGACCTCTCGTGGAATCCAGCGCTGCTCCACGACCTTCCACACGCCGCTACTAACGAGCGATCAGGTTCGGTTCTTTTGCCTCTCCGAAATTGAATTGCGTCCGGCTCCATATCAGTGACAATGAGGTCAGAGCGCTCGGCCGGCGTTACTGGCGTATCCACCGACCACCCACCGAAGTGATGTTCACAATATCTACCGATCACCTACCGAAGAAGTGCTCGCGTATCTACCGACCAGCCCGGGAAGTGACGTTCACATATCCACCGCCCACCTCACCGAAGTGGTGCTCATGTATCCACCGACCACCTACCCTAGTGCCCGCGTATCTACCGACCACCCCGGAAAGTGACGTTCACATATCCACCGACCACCTCACCGAAGTGGTGCTCATGTATCCGCCGGCCACCCCACCAAAGTGGGGTGAAAAACAGTCAGCTATGTGCAAGAATATGGAAAATGCATGTCAGTATACACTGCACACCGAGAATCAGCATTCTTAACAGACGCTGGACAGCGTGTAATACTTGACAGCTACGGGCGGGTATCACCGAGGGCCAATCAAATTCGCGTAAGGTTCGCGACAACCAAAATAAATATGCTAACGAAGTCATGTTTAAAAGACTGAGTTTTTTTATCAGTTGTGATATTTCGGAAAGTTCAAAATGTTGGTGACCCGTTTCAGATAGATGGGATTTCGCGGCTCCATCCGTCGGGAATAAGAAAACGAGCCGGCACGGCGATCTGATCAATTGATCATATTCTATTCACATCACCTATTGTTACAACATGTGACACATCTTCCATTTACAATTGCCTAAGGGCTTCATCTGCAGATTGCACAACGCACTAACCAGGCATCTTTCGAAGTTACAGGGGACATGCATGGCGCACAACCGTCTGGGAATATAAGTTACTAAAATGAATGAGGAGCAACCAACAATTTGAAGCACACAGTACCGCGCGAGCGGGAACGCACCTTCAACGGGGGGCACAATAAATCCAACACTACGATCGGGGAGAATGATAATTATCACATGTTATGGAACGGGCCCCGGTGCGGCCACCTCATTCAGACCGAGTGAAGGAGGTGTTCAGCGCAGCGTCGCGCTCCCTTACGGAACGACAGGAGCTGCGAGGTGTTCGCCTCGAACGGCAGCGCAGTCATATCAACAAGAAAGGGGTCGAGCGGACAGAACGAACAGGACGCAAAGGTGGTACAGAGACAACGTGTTAAAAAACTACACATATATAGGTGCGTAGCTGGCGCGGGAGATCTCTCGTCGGAGAGTGACGGCGCGGCTCTCGAGTTGCGGCCAGTTCCCGCGCGCGCAGCTTGGCCCGATACGCGTGCGCACCGGCACCGGGGAGGCCTCGCAAGGGCTATTGGGCGGCAGCCGCGTACAAGCGGCCAGCGACGCCGAGCCTAACAACATCTAACGAACGGCCTACAAAAGGTCGGCGCGAGCCTCCGCCGTCACAACCCCGGCCGCCAGCTCCGGCCGCCCGCGGCGGTGGCGCCACCTGCGGCCAGCTTCGCACTCCACTGCACTCCTCCGGCGCTGGAGCTGCCAGCGGCGGGGGTGCCAGCGACCGGGCTTCGCTCAGCGGGTGAGCAGGCCCGGCGTGGGCGCGCTGAGATTCCTCCCGGCCGCCAGAGGGCTCCAGAGACGCCGAGCGCGCCTCTCCGCACCGACAGAAAGCTCAACATGACGCCCCCCAGCGCGCGAGACGCGCCTCAGCTCGTCGCCAGTTTCTCACAGCTTCTCTTTCGACGGGATCCAGATGCGGTTCGTACCCTGCTCACGGATGGTCTCTTTCACTATTTCGTAAATCTCCTCCGGCGTGTCGCCGGAAACAATGTCTGGAAATGAGAAACATCGTCAGTCAGAAGTGTCAACGATAACCGTCAAAGCAAGCGTCACGTGTCCGGCTCTGAGCACTAAGAAACAGCAGACACTAAGGAAGAACATAAAACTAAGAAATCCGACACTGTCATGCAACAACATATAGCAGCTTCCTCCCTGGGTGGGCTTAAAGTAAGCACGCAGAATTCTATTGAGTAAGCCATCTCCCCCCCCCCCCCCCCCCCCCCAATGATTCTACGCCACATAGACCCGCGTCCGGTGGGAGACTTGTGGAGGAATCTTCACCTGGCAAAAGTACAACTTCACGACGCAAATCGCCATTCATTAACCACAGGAATACACCACCAATATCTCCCACTTACTGGTAAAGTATTCGCTGAACTCCACTTCCAGCTTTTGACATTTGTCGTACATCTTTTTCGCCTGCTCTTCCGTCAGCCGTTTATTCCATTCTCTGTGAAAATGCAGCGGAATAAAAATCGGATTTGTGGAAATTAGAAAACAGCGTCGCACTTCCAGCGCACAGGCCGCTACGGCACCTTCCAAGCGCATCTGCTCGGTTCCAGTGTGCGGAAGTCACAAGGACTGTCTGAGTGAGCACACCCAAATACGAAGATGAATGAACCAGTATGTCACATCGAGTGTGCCACATCACTCAAGGAGTGGCCAGCCGTTTCTCATACCGAATATGTTAGGTATGCTGTTGTGACGCAGAACTATCGACAGCATTTGAGCCATGGTATCACTGAACGTATCCACCAGCCTCAACTGGCAGGCGTCGCCACCCTCTCATTCAGCAGTGCCAGTAACGTGTACCAGAGCCAGCTTCAGTAGCGCCTGAGTGACCAGCTCTGGGGCGCCCCGACGGTGGTTCTTGGCAAGCGCACGTCACGACCCAGATACTAAAACGTCATTGCCTAACGCCCAGCGTGCTAACACTGCCTCAACACCATTTGTGTTAGCATCACCGCCTCAGCACCCAGTGTTAACTCAGCATGCCTTGAGTGGAGATCTTGCCTTCATTGTACTATATAGCTGTAGGATGGCGAACAGGCTCCTCATCACCGTTTGCTGGTAAAGGGTGCGCCCTAGTAGGATTACGCAGAAAACGGTGCGCCCCCCCCCCCCCCCCCCCTTCCTCCCCAGTCATTCAGTTCGAGGTGCACGCAACTTTACGGAGGAAGGCGTGCATTTCTGCAGTCTTCCTTCGGCTACCAGACAGGTCCCCTCGGGCCACGAACCGATCGTGCCTCGCGCCGAGCAAAGCTCTGTCCTGCGCCACCGTGTCCCCAGCGGGTCCCTGCCTGGTCACGAACAGAGTTCTGTCCCGCGCTACCATACCCCCAGCGGGTTCCCTGCTCGGTCACGAGCAGAGCTCTGCCCTGCGCTGCCGTGTCCCCAGCGGGTCCGCTCCGCGGTCACGAGCAGAGTTCTGTCCCGCGCTATCATACCCCCAGCGGGTCTTCTGCCCGGTCACGAGCAGAGCTCTGCCTTGCGCCGCCGTGTTCCCAGCGGACCCCCTGCCCGGTCACGAGCAGAGCTCTGTCAGGCGCTGCCGTGTCCCCCGCGGGTCCCCTGCGCGGTCACGAGCAGAGTTATGTCCTGCGCTGCCGTGTCCCCAGTCCTGAGCCCCCCGCCCGGTCACCCCTGACCCTCGCAGACGGAGCAGACTCGCGTCCCGCCGTGCGCCCCACTCACAGGATGAGCTCCGGCGAGCGTGGCCGGATGAAGATGGCGATCGGGTACAGCTGGGCCACGTGCAGCCGCTTGATGGCGTTTCCGCTCACGTCCAGGATGCAGTGCTTCTTTTGCTGGCGGCCCGAACACAGGGGGTTAAAGCAGTGCGAAGATCGCGGCCATGTCCGGGAATGAGGCCGGGCGGCGACGTCAGTCAAGAGGCATCCCCCGCCAGTCAAAACAACCGGCCGGACCCCCGCCCGATCGCTTAACGCCCCGTCTGTTTCTAAGCACGTACGTCGCCGGTGTGATATTCCCCAGTCTGTTCTCGCGTCCCCATGCAACAGAGCTCGGACAGCGCAGCGAGACGCGGCGGAGACGCCTCGGGACCGGTGGATGACGTCAGCGACGCGCGTGCCGTACCTCCTCGGCCACCTCTCGGACGCTGGTTACGCTGGTGCCGTACAGGTTGTCGTTGTACTGGCCGGCCTCGATGAACAGGTGGTTCTGGATGTCCTGCTCCATTTGCTCGCGCGACGCCACGAAGTGGTAGTCGCGCTTGTCCACCTCGTCCTCCCGGCACGGCCGCGTCGTGTCTGCCGCACACGTGACGTCGCTCATTTCCGGTTCCGGTTCCGGTTCCGGTCGCTCATGTGTGATGTAGCAGCTGATTCACTACGCGAGCGATCACTTTCAGTGGCCGGTGACCGTAGTAAAATAGAAGAGCACGCGTGTGCGAGCTTTCGCAACAATGTTTGCATCAAATATAATGTCATATCCGGCAAACATACGGTTATACATTTACATACCGTACAACCTTATCCTATGATTAATCTGTCGTTGACAATAAAAGGTATGCGGTAGGTACGCACCGTAGGCGCCAACAAGTCCAAAGTGCCATGCCAGCACGCGCGTTAAAACGAAACCTTTGTCCTCGACACTAACATGATAAACACAAGTTAAAGTCTTCAGTTGGAGTTGTTAGATGATGAACTCGAAGGCATGACGTCACGCCCAGAACTTCACGAGCCCTTATCGGCGACAGCTTTAACGTCGCCCAAAACTTCAACTCTCCAGTCTACTTTTGGACGGCTAGCCATTTGCATAGCGCCCGGCCAGGCACCGTCACAAATGACCCGGACGACTGAGTCTGCCCCCGCGGTGCGGACGTCGTCGCCCGATGTCTAGACGTCTCTGATCGCACCCCCGTCGCGCGGCGCCTCGTCCACTCACGCGGCACGCAGCTGCCGAAGTCGTCCGGGTACTGCGAGATGAGGTCGTCGTTGATGCGGTCCTTGAGCGGGCCCAGGATGATGACCGGCCGGCAGTAGCTGACCTCCACGTGCTGGACAGGCTCGTACGAGGGCACCGGCTCCTCAGGTAGGCTGCGCTCGTCACCTTCCGACGCGTTCGTCACCGAGTCTGCGACAGCGGTCCGTTGTTGTGGCTTCAAAACGTTACGCTTTGTCCCTAAGCGGCGCCCGATGGGGGAACATTAGCCAGCGCTTCACTTTTTGCTCCACTGGTGTTACCGCGATGCTACTGTTTAAAGAAGTGCGATTATTAGAAGTGCAACAGCTATGGTGTCTTCGTTGCCCATGCGATCAAATGCCAAACTAGAACTTCGCAGAAGAATGCGTTGCTAAACCTAGAGCTTTTCAAAAGCGCCGCAGCATGAAGAGCGAACAGCTGATCATAGGCAAGATACTCTGTAAGTCGGACATTTGCAGCTATCTACGTCGGTGATTAACCTTTTTGTGGGAACAGCCTCCTCGACAACATTACTTCCCCCATCAAAGGCCGTCTCCCTGTGCTGCCTCTTCGAAGACCCATACCAGTTGCTCACAGCAATAAAGTGAGGGAGCTCTTCCTTTGACGGTGCAAGTTAAAGGATTTGTTTTGTTAGTCTGCGTTTATCCACCTGTCTCTTTTAACCTCGAATCGACAACCAAAACAGCGTGCTAAAGACGGTAGCCTTCGGCAATGGATCTTACGCTAATGCAATACAATACACGAAGCAGGATAGGCTGTGTCGTGAGGTCAGTTGTTTTAACGCTTAATGCAACTCACGGCACAAAGAGAGACGCCGGCCAAGTTGGTTCATGACCGGCGAAATGACGTGGATGTGAGGTTGGCCTCTCCGCATGATGGCATTAGTACTTACGGTCATTGTCCTCTGATCCATCTTCGGACCTCATATCCTCCCTCGATTTCATGAACGGAAACTTGCGAGAAAAGGAGAAGTTTTTCTTCTTCCGGTCTAGGGTGGACTGCAACGCAGGTACGTGTACAAGTTATTAAAACTGCACTACGATTTGAACATATGGGGAGACCGAATTAATTTCTAATACAGAAAGAAAAGTGTGAGAGATATTGGGAAAGCCGTGGCTGTCAATTCTAGAAGCAAACAAGAATAAGCTTGGCCACATTTTTCTTGCTTTCACGCAACTCAAACTCTTTTCAAATTAGTGCCTAGCGCTCCAGCACTCAGCCGCTATCACATGCCGCCAACACAGGTGGACAGCTACTTCTCGCTACTGATGACGTTAGCAAACAGGCACAATTCGACCCTGATGATCCCACCCGCATCAGATTCGGCGTCCGCCTCAGCTTGGACCGAGCAGCGCCGGAGGCGGCGCCGACAGTACCCCAGCGAGCCAACGTGTCACGCGCACGCACCGCAGGCAAGGCAGAGACGGAACGAAACCCGACACGGACAGCATGACCAAATCCGCACACAGGTGCGTGCCCCCGGTGGCGGAGTCAGCGTCGGAATCATAGTCAGACGGGCCGGAGCCGGAGCCAGAGCCGGAGCGGGGCTCCAGATCGCACGCAGTCTCCCCATCACCGGCAGCGGTACCAAAGCCAGAGCCACGACGTCGCCGCGCGGCCGGGGGCAGCACACCAAACATTACCAGACACTGTCACGGGACAGGGCAGACCACAGGGTCACGACACTCAGCACGACGGCACGACGCCGGCTCCGTGCGGACCAGCCGCGACGGGACGGAAGCGAGACCTCATCCCCAGGATCGCACAACCACGTGCTCGGCAGGCTAGATGAGGGCCGGGTACGGGCGAGAAAGGGCAGCCGCGACAGATCATGCTGTTTTAAATGTCCTCACTGATACTTCAGCATGTTCGCGCTCTCTCACTGAGTGTGTGAGTACTGACTCACTGAGCATACGCAGCTGACGGAAGCGTGACCGGCGTCATTCCAGTGACGTCACACGCTCCACAGTGTACGGTGAGCGGGCAGGCCAGCGGGTCAGCCCTGACCAGGTGGCTCTGGTGGTCAGCTCTGACCAGCCCATCCACACCGGCTTACCGAGGGAGCCGAGCAACTCGGCTGCGGCGTCTGAGACCGCCACTCCCACGCGTAAACTACCTCTCGGCGACGTGACGGGGCTACAAAGACGTAGCTTAAATGTGATGGGGCTTAAATGGGGACTACAAAAGGCTAATGCTGACGTATCGGTGTCACCAGCCTCGTCGCGTAACGATGGAGCAACGTGCGTTTGGGTTCAAGGCTGAAAAAGTTATCCAATGCTTGTTTACAACGACCACGTATTGAGCTCCATGGACACATGCCATCTTTTGGAGGTTGTTCCCAGCTAACAGCCGTAACTACATACGGACGGGGTACCATTCCGGACGTAAGAGCCGTCCTAGCTACACACGTGTACGACAAACAGGGTGCAAAGCACCAACCGCACATATGGGAGCACACCATGGCTCAAAGCAAGAACATAGTGGAAACGCACGACCAAAAGCGGTTTGAGGACACAAACAGGGGGTGCCAGACAGGGAGAAGCGGTGGATGCGCACACCATAGTCACCTCGTCCTCCTCTGTCGCCTGAAGCAAACCAGGAACACAGAGCACAGAGTGAGGAGTGAGAGCGAAAACAGTTAGTTCCGCCGTCAGCCATCTTTTGAAACGGATGGCCTAAAGAAGGTCGGTGAACGATCAGGCACACTGAGACTATCTCAGCCAAATAGCACGCTGAAATAATGGATGGCGATTCGAATGCACAAATAGGCGGAAAACTGACAAAATTATGGCACAAGTAACGCAAAAACGTTTAGCATAGGCCACTGATTTACGAAGGAGCCAAAAAGACGACCGCAACCTTGTGCACGGTGGTCAGTACCGCCGCATGACGGCTGCTACCCAAGAGCACAATTCGCGTTCATCTCCACACAAGCAAGAGCTCTATGACGTCCTTCTACCTCAATTGCCTCCAATGCTACAATCTTGGACGTGGCCGCAATGCAATCTTAAGGGATCCCACAACCACAGGCCAATCGGCGAAGAAAACGAAGCCGTCGAATCTCCTGGTGTACCACAGAAGTGCCAACGACGCACGACTGCCTCTCGTGCCCGCCAACTCCCGTCTCCGGGCGACCGTTCCAGGCACAGGTCTGTGCAGAATAAACTCACTGTGATAAAACAAACACCAATAAACACTAACAAACACTAAGAAACACACCAATAAACCCCAGCTCACCATGTCGGCCGCCGTCTTGGCGTGGAACACTACCGACTTGCCGCGCGCGCGCATCTTGCGCTCCCAGCGGCCCCGCGACGGAATGATGCCGATGGCCAGCTGCTGGCCCTGCGGTGTCAGCCGCTTGGCCTGCCACCACTGGTCGTCGCTGGCGTTGGTCACGTGCAGGATGTCCCCGAAGGCGAACGGCAGGCCGCGCGAGGGCAGGCCGTCGTCCAGCCGCGGGTCGTAGTCGAACAGCGCCCTGCGCACGGCACGGGCCGGGTCAGGCCAGGCTAGGGCGGACCGTTCAGACAGGGTAGGCTCGCCCGGCCAGCGCAGGCTCACTCTGACCAGTGCACTGGGCCTCTGATCCAATGCGGTCGGGATGTTGCCAGTAGCGGGATGCTTGGCGCGGCTGCTACTTGCTTGACGCATAAAGAGCGTCTCTGTCTGCCACGTTAAGGGTCCAACACACGGTGATTTAGTTTTTTTTGCGTTTTTTTTGGCGGTGCACGGTCGTGCCAGACGCAGAGAGGACATGTATGTACGGTGGAGATCGTCTCTGACGTAGAATGAACGTTTCTGTGCCGCGCTCAGCCGTACCTGACGTAGAGCGATCGCTTCTGTGTGGTGCGCAGCGTGGAGGACGACATCTGCTGTTTCAGATCGTGGACCCTGGCTTCGAACCGGTTATACTCCTCGGGCCGGTACTGGACCACCAGGGACACGGTGTGGCCGGCGCCCTGTCGGCGGAGGTCACCGTTATCCAGGCCGGTCACCGGTTACCGGTTCCGGTCACCACCCTTGCCGTGACCTGACATGACCTGACGTGACCTGACGCGGTGCACCAGACAGCCGACCGCGGACAGCCAACGGCAATAGAATAGAAATTGGAGCAGCTCGAATGCTTCTTTATAGAGATGTTTAGAAGTAGGATACCGGATCACAGCGTTCTTGAGTGCAATGTTTGTTGGTATAATTCAGTAGTTTATTTTGCGGGGCGTAATATGATTTCCTGCTCACTTTCGTCGGTAGAATATATCAAACTATTTCTGGCATAGTGTGACATCCTGGTATACTTCGTCGCAACCAAGCATTCGCTGTAATTTGACTCATCCAAGCACCCTCCCTAAACTTCTCTGTAACCATCAGCATCAGCAGAGCTTCGTCGTAGCTCTGCCCCCCCCCCCCCCCCCCAACGCTCAAAACTTCTCCGTAGCCGAGCATCCGCTGCACTTTGTCTCACGCCTATTGGTTAAATCCACAGGACATGGCTAATACTGTCGTATTCTTAGGCCGACGTGTGCACTTTTCCATCAGTACCTTTCATGAAGCCCGGTGACGACAAACAATAAGGGACACGCAGCCAAGGGCCATGGATAAACTGCGCCTCAATCTGGAGTGAATGCGTGAAACGAAAAGCTTTCTTCCGCAAATACAGCAAACTCCGAAGAGCCTGACAGCCCCACTTACCTACGCTATTAATAAAAAATAAGCTTGAGACTCAAGGGCCAGGCAGAGAAGCGTCCACAACAATCACAGCCCGTAACTTACATAACTATGCCTGACACGTCAAACAGTTGCCTACCCAGCAGTCCAAAAGATCGAGACTCTGGATGCTGCTAATGACCCGCGGGCTGGCGAGTGCCCAACCGAAACCTGCAACACCAAACTCCTCGCCAGTACTCCTCTGCCCTCGCCAGCAGCGGTGACCCTGTCTGACCTTGAGGGCGGCAGCCGCCTGCTCGTGCGTGGCCTTGGAGACATCGCAGCCATTGACGGAGAGGATGCGGTCGCCGCGGTGCAGCTCGCCGCTCCGGTCCGCCTGGCCGCCGGCCAGGATGAACGACACGAAGATGCCCTCCGACTCCTCGCCGCCCACGATATTGAAGCCCAGCCCCTGGCCGGACGCTCTGCTGAGCACCACCTGCCGCTGCTCCCTGTCGACAGGTCAGGTCAAGTCAGGTCGTGTCGGGTCGGGTCGGATGGGGTGCGGGGGAGGGGAAAGGGCACAGCGAACACAGGACAGGTTGGGATGCCCAACCGGCCCCACAACACGCATGTCAAACTATGGGCGACGAAACGCCAACAATGATAATAACTAAGCAGCCCGCTGGGAGGAAGAGTTTTAAGGTCCTCCGTTAAGGCAAGTAAACATCCGGTGCAGAGATCCAAGTGAGACAGTAATGCACGGAAACATTGGGTTATGGTCTCCCCTTGAAGTAACAACAAGGTCAGCTGTTCGTCTCATCACCCATTGTGTGAAAACAGGGTGGCTACAGGAACAGGCTTGAAAGTGGAGGCGGCGCAGGAACCTATTTCCGCACACTTTTGTTAAACAGAGTGTCCCGCGTTTGTATAAGGTTTTGAACTGATGTAGTCATTTTGAAGATCACTCAACGCAATTCACAGCAATCACATTGAGACTGCAAATGTTCTTGTTTCTGAGCTTGAAGCACGCGAACATGTGTATACTTTTTCGCATAACCTCTTTGAAGGTCACCTTCACATGTATGACGTCATAGAAACGTCACGTGAATGCCCCGCCTCAATGGTTATGTTGTGCTCAGTCAGAGCAAGTATGTTTGTCGCGCCGGTCGCATGTGGCGTCCATGCGCACGATTTCTGGACAACGGGCGGCAGTATGCTCTCAACCATTGCTATGTAAGCTATCCAAGATTCTAACGCGAATTCTAAGTTGTACCGATAATACGAAGTCATATATTTTTCATTATGCATTCTTGGGCGGCGCCCAAGCCTCCGGATAACGCGTGCCGGACGGTCCGGGCGACCCACAGCTCAGCAGCGTCCGTGCAGTGCCGTCCGCCGCACGCCAACAGCGGCGGTCGCGCCCGCGTGCCCCGCCGACGGCCCGGCGCCTGCCTGAGCGACGGGGCCAACTCGCCACCACTGCCGCCGCTGCCGCCGTCACATCGGACGTCGGGGCCGACGTGCCGCCGCCGCTGCCGGCACCGCCGTCCAATAGGCCGCGGTCCCATCAGCGCGCATAGTTGGCGGCCGCGGTCCCATCAGCGCGCATAGTTGGCGGTCGGTGTCCTCGCTCGGGCGTCAGCTGACCCGTCGGGCCTCGCCAGGTCCCGCAGAGGTCAGCTGCGGCGCGGGCGGGCTGGCACGCCAGCCTCGCTACAGCCGCGGCAGCCCCGTCACAGCCGCCGCAGCCCCGTCACAGCCCACAGCCGCGGCAGCCCCGTCACAGCTCACAGCCGCCGCAGCCCCGTCACAGCCCACAGCCGCGGCAGCCCCGTCACAACCGCGGCAGCGTGGGTACAACCGCGGCGTTCTCGTCATTGCCGCGGAAGCCCGGTTACAGACGCGGCAGCCCCGTCACAGCCACGACAGCCCGGTCGCAGTCACGGTAATCCGTCACAGCTCACAGCCACGGCAGCCCCATCACAACCGCGGCAGCCCCGTCACAACCATGGCAGCCCCGTCACAGCTCACAGCCGCCGCAGCCCCGTCACAGCCCACAGCCGCGGCAGCCCCGTCACAACCGCGGCAGCATGGGTACAACCGCGGCGTTCTCGTCACGGCCGCGGAAGCCCGGTTACAGCCGCGGCAGCGCGGGTACAGCCGCGGCGTTCTCGTCACAGTCGCGGCAGCCCCGTCACAGCCACTGCAGCCCCGTCACAGCCGCGGCGGCCCCGTCACAGCCGCGGCGTTCTCGTCACAGCCACGGAAGCCCGGTTACAGCCGCGGCAGCGCGGGTACAGCTGCGGCATTCTCGTCACAGCCGCGGCAGCCCGGTCACAGCCGCGGCAGCCCCGTCACAGCCGCGGCAGCCCCATCACAGCCGCGGCAGCCCCGTCACAGCCGCGGCAGCCCCGTCACAGCCGCGGCAGCCCGGTCACAGCCGCGGCAGCCCGGTCACAGCCGCGGCAGCCCGGTCACAGCCGCGGCAGCCCGGTCACAGCCGCGGCAGCCCCGTCACAGCCGCGGCAGCCCCGTCACAGCCGCGGCAGCCCGGTCACAGCCGCGGCAGCCCGGTCACGGCCGCGGCAGCCTGGTCATGGGACCTACACCGCAGCTAGGGCTGGGAGCCTCCAATTCGTTGAAACTTTCCACGGCGGCCCTTCCAGAAATGTAACAAGACTTGTTTCATAAATATCGAAGAAACTACTCATAATCTCGGAAGCAAAAACACAAGGAAATGTTAAAAACCTTCTACAAAACTAACGGATTTCCGGCTCAACTTTCCAACAATGTTTTAATAGAAAGCTAACATTTCTAGAGACACAGTTGTTCGGTGGCTACAAAAAGGTGCCAATCAAAAATATCTAAGATTTGCAGTCATGCATGCATTGACGGTTTTAACCAGAGTGTATGAAATGTCCGAGACATTCCGCTTCGGCAAATGAACAAATACACCTTCCGGCTTTGCCTTGACCGCCATAAAACCACACACATGAAGTACTACTCTTCCGCAGCAGCAAATTTGTTTGCTGCGTGCATATTTTTTCAACTAGTTATCGTTGTCTGGCACTCCAACATATGCCTGTGAGCCAAAAGCTTCAACAAAACGGACGCTCACAGCTGGTGAATGAGGCGCCATCCAAATAACCATCCACAGGGTCTCGGCTTCCCTTGTCTGTCGCAACTATCGAATGCATATATCCATCCGCAACAAATATTCATTGCTTATCAATTCAAAACTTGTCGGGAGCTTGCCGGCAAGGCAGTGCGAGAGCATATATAGACCCGGTACAGCAATTCCAGCTCTCTCCAGATGCCACGGAACGGTGAAACGGCGCTGCGGAGGGCGTTCATTGAACTGCTCAGCCCACCGCTGGCGGCCAATCAAATCAGGCTATTTCGGGCCGGTCTCGGTAGCGACGGTGGCCTGGTCTTGGCAGTAGCACAGCTGCGGCATACCCGACAGCCGGAAACCCACGACACGGGCGTCGAGAGTCCGCTCGCGATGGAGGACAGCCGCCAGAGTTCAGCCGGAGGCGACGCAGGTGCCGGCCAGGCACGGTGGCAAGCCCGCCTCCCGGCTTCGAAGCTGGATCCGAAGCCAAGGTAGTGACATGGGACTGAAATCGAATTTGAGGGCGTTGGCTTTACGGCTCAGAGCTGGCGGGAAGTCTGAGCCGAAGTCAGAAGCTTTTATGTTTAAAACGCGAAACCAAAGCCAACGCCATTGCCCTCGAACCTCACACACAATAAGCCAAAGCCGAAGCCAACGGCTTCGATCCTAGAGAAAAACGGAGCCAAAGCCAACACCAACAGTTCAAGTCACGAGCCCCAGTACCAAGCTGAATCTAACGTGTAACGTTACGTTGCGAAACCAAAGCCATTTGCGCGTATGCTAAAACTGCACGAGATCAGGAAATGTCACAAGAGTTCTGCAGAGTGATTGAGACAAGGTGTTAGCACTACGGATAAGACATGTCTTGTTTTCGGACTGTCATCCTCGTCGTGCATGTTTGTATGTACACCACGTTTCGGACAGTCAGCTATCACCCGGCCGTCATCGGAGTCAATCGGTCCTGAGAGTGACTGGCAGGTTTTGACTTTTAACCATGAATGCGTCGCAGTCTTGGAAAGCTGGGTGGTATATTGGCATGACGACACAGACAGGACTCATTTTGCGAAGTCAAGCAGTAACACCAGTGAAAGGAATTGTCATGACAAGTACAAACCCAGCAGTTCAAGCTCGCATTGAGCCAAAGCGGGGTCATTATTTAAAACTTGTTCGAACCGACGTGGGGGTCGGCTGTTAAAAATGTCACAAAGTAGAACACGAAACCGAAGTCAGCTGTTCAAAACGTCACAAAGCCGAAGCCGAAGCCGAAGCAATCGTTTAAAATAGCATGAAGCGGAGGCCGAAGCAGAAGCGGGCTGTCTCCATGCCTGGAGCCGGCCAAAGCGCGGTGGGAAGCGCTCAGCCGACCCATGCGCCGGCCACCGACCAGCACAGCACAGCGCCGTGTCTCCGGAGCCGCGCGACCCAAGCTTCGACGAAGCCGCCGCGCCCGCCGCCGCACCCGCCGCCGATCTGTGCCGCGGCGGCAGCGGCGGACCATCTGGCGGGCCGCGCGGCACGCTCGCGGCCTCGCCATTGTGGTGGTATATGGAGCAGGGCGTGCCCATCAGCCCGCTGTCTACACCACCAGTCTCCCTCGGCCGCGCACCCGGCCCGGCACGCACAGCTCCCGTTCCCACCGGCGTCGGCGACACATGGCGGCGGGGACACCGACGGCGGCCGGCGCTCTTCCGACAGACTTGAGGTGGGGCGAGGGGGGGGGGGGAGGAGGAGGAGGAGGAGGTAGCGAGGCAATGCATGGTCACTCCGCCTTTTACATTTCAACGCTCACGAAACCGTCACTGAGGCGAGGCGCATGTAATGGTGCCCAATCGGCAGAGGCCGAATGCACTGTCGCCATATCATGAAGCCCCTGGGGTGCACTGTGAACTTCGTGAGTCAGACGTCAACCGCGCGCGCCTGAGACACAAGGGCGTCGCTTCCGGACGCCGGTACGGAAGTGAGTGACGGCCGCGTGACGTCAAAGGCCAGGTCGAGCCCCCCCCCCCCCCCCCCCAGAGCCAGCGCCAGCGTTCAGACCTGAGAGGCCGGCCGCCCCCGGACCGCACACCCGTGCACTGCATGTCTTCTGAATACCGATGGGCGGGTGTTTGGCGGCGCGGCCTCGGCGGCCTCGGCCGGCCGGGGCCGGGTGAGGCACGTCACGAGCGCCCGCAAGGTCACCCTCGGCCGCGCCGCCCATGTCGGTCAGGTGACCCGGCGCCCCGGCGGGCTGACCCGGCGTCGGGCGTGCTGGCAGCCACTGCTGAGCTGGATCAGACTTGAGCGAACACAATCGTGCGGCAAGGTTCTTGGGAGGTCGTTATGTCGTCACTGAATGAATGGTCACTAGCCATTCATTCAAAGGCCGGAATGCCACTGGGGGAGCGGGAGGAT